TTTGCCGTCTCCTAATTGCGCATTGTTATCTTATTAATTTTGCGCCTGGAACCAAGGGGTTTGGTGTGCCTTGCAAAGTTCACTAAAAAAACGTTCCGCGCCCGGGAAAAGTAAATTTGGGGTTTTTAGAGACGAGATTTTCCATGTTGATCATATCAAACTCTTTTTATGGTGAAATTAGCCAGGGGGTTTCTTTGCATTTTGTAGTTTTAGTGTACTTCCAATTATTGCAAATAATTGGGAAAGCAAATATGCGATTGTGAGCCCGCGTGAACTTTGAATGGCTATGTGAATAAAAAAACCAAATCACGTGAAGTTTTTGGGCGATTTTAAAAGTAAAAAGCCGAAATTTTTCACCTAGCCATGGTTAGGTATTTGCACGCGGAGGGCTTTTTGGCAAAATTCCGAAAAAAAACCGCCGAATTTAACCCGCCGTAAGCATAATTAAACGAATTTTGGTAACTATTTTAGCTTTCTGTAACATCCCTTCATTTTTTGGTGGAAATAGGCGCCCCAAATTTCCCCCAATTATAACTGCGTTACAAAACGTCGTGTCAGCGGTTTAATCTTGTCAAAAATTTTCCGGTCCGACGTATCGTGACCAATGTTTGAAAAAAAAGGAAATGAAAAAATTTGGGAAAATTTTATCCCCTTTTCAGCCCGGGCAACGTTTTGATCCGGGGATTCCAATTATAGTGAAAAACTTTTCCCAATCTATAAATGCCCCCTTTTATAGGATCCTACTCAACGACTAAAAGCTTACACGAAGGCCTCCGGTCCATCTGCATCGTGAACCAACACGCAAAATTATGTTACCCTCTTACGCTCTCAAATTTAAAGCCTGCGGTTGTTAGTTGATAAACCCTGAATAAGCATTCTCATGTGAGGGAAATTTATTGGGTCATTTCATAAAGCCCTTCTTGAGATTTTGTTTTGAGATCGAGATTCGAATAGGGGAGCTTTGTGTTTTTTCAAAGCGAAAGTCATCCCAACCCCCCAAAAAAGCAAAAACCCCTTTCAATTGGTACATCTCTTTTTGTAGACGAAATTATAATACTTTGATTGAGTGGTTTTATATCAATTTAAAAGGGAAATTTTTTGTTGCTCAATTTTAAAACCCCAAAAAATTCATTTGTTTTAATAATAAAATACCAATCGTTAAAATTTTAAAGTCCCTGTTTTTTAAACCCGTTGAAAATCAAAACTGTGAAACAAACCCCAAAGTTATGAAAATTTTAATGTTTCTCTTAAAGGGAAAGGGCAATAAATCTTAGTATAGTGGGTCTCCCGAACCAAATGTGGGGGAAAAGGGGTCGTTTTAAGGGTTCCGTTGGATTGAATGTTACAAGATTTAAGGATATGGTATTAGGCCCCCTACGAACTAATTTGACTGTTCCCAATTTTGTATTCAACAGAAACACCACTTTACCACTTTTTCCCCCCCTTTGTGCTCTTTTCGGGTTTGCCAATCTTTATTTGTGACGTGTAAAAGGCTGAAAATTAAAAAATGTTTTTTATCAAGGAGAAAAAACTTTTGTATCAAAAATTTTTACTTTGGCAATCGCAAATTGGAAAATTACCAATTTAGTTAATCACCAAAAAAAGTGAAAATTTTTTTTGGTAAAAAGATTAAAAATCGTTTGAACACGGAGAAATGTTTTTTTAAAAAAAACTTAAAAAATTTTTTCACTTAAATTTTTTTTTCGAGACTTTAAAAAAAAGTTTGAAATTTGAAATTTTTTTTTCCCCGCCGAATTACAAATTTGCTTTTAAAAAAGTGGATAAAAATGCCTTGCAGAAAATTTTCAAAAGTTTTTAGTTTGGGTCTAAATCTCAATTTGAAGTTGGGTTCAGTAAATCTCTACATATTTTTGAAATTAGGAAAGCTTCGGAAAGGGTGGCCTGAAAAGGAACCCACAATTTAGGTTTGTAAAAATTACAATAGCTTTATAATTCCACATAAAGAAAACGCAAAAAAGGACCATTTAAGATGAACCGTTTTACCTGCTGTACTTCATTTTATTGTTTTAAATGTCAAAACCTTGTCAATCTTGAAATCTAAGGGGTTTCTATGTACGGCCCTTTATTTCCCTTATAATTGCCCCAGTTTGCAGACATGCGTTTTCTCACAGGGTTTCTTTAAACTGTCCCTTTTTTTCCCCCTCTCGAAAATCGAAAGAGGCCTTTTTATGGGGGGGGGGGGGGGGGGGGGGGGGGGGGGGGGGGGGGGTTGGAAGGGGGGTTTTTAAATTAAACCTTCCTCATCCTTGGGGTTTTTTTTTATTGTAAAGCGATGCCCTTCGTTTGCTTGCCTTTACCGAAAACCCCCATATGTCTTCCCAGGGTGGGGTTGCTGGAGATAGATTAAAAAATTTTGCTAAAAATAGCTGTTAGAGTAAAGGTGGTAGTGGGTGGGTAGAGGGATGTGCAAAAACGTAGCTCACGGGTTTTGGGTTGGTTATTTTAATGGCCAAAGAGTGCCGGAACTAAAGTTTCTTAAGATTGCAGTTTAGGGGGCAGTGTAAACCACGGTGTAGTCAGGGACACAGAGCTACAGTGCAGGAGTACTGCAATAGAACAGTGCAAGTGATACAGTCTGCAACAGTAAAACGCCGACGAAGCTAGACTTAGAGTGAACTGATGGAAGCTGGGTGGTGCTAAAATGGAGGTAGCAGAACGTACTACATGATGAAAACAGGAAAACTAAGGCTAGTTGAGACCTAAAAAGATGTGAATCTGTCCTGATAGATCCAGTGAAGAGCGAGTAGCGAAGAGTTTGATCACTAACCTAAAGCTCTAAAGAAGAAGAGGGCTAAAGAGACTCACTTTGATCAATAAATCCGGTACGGCAAGGTCTGTAGCCTTGATAAGAAGATACCATGAAGTAATTCATGCAGAAAAGTCGATTTATATAAAGGGTTTCGTTGGATCTAAAAAGGGTGGGTCAGTCTCTCTGTTTTCATAAGATTCTGATGAAATGCTGTTAAGCTCAGGACGGTGATCTTAATAGGTCGGATAGCTGTATCTGGTTGCTTCCAGCCCACCCTTGTCGCTTGAAAATAAGTTCTCACCCCACCTCTTCCAAAAATACAGTTACCAGAGCAGGAAACTCTTCTTCCTCCTCTTCTTTCAACACAAACACAATCAGGTTCCAGCTACTCTCCTCCTCTGCAGCCACAATCTTATCTCCTTCTTCGGAGTTTTACTGTTGCAGACTGTATCACTTGCACTGTTCTATTGCAGTACTCCTGCACTGTAGCTCTGTGTCCCTGACTACACCGTGGTTTACACTGCCCCTAAACTGCAATCTTAAGTAACTTTAGTTCCGGCACTCTTTGGCCATTAAAATAACCAACTCCAATGAAACCCCGTGTAGCTACGTTCTGCTACATCCATGCTAGCACCACCCAGCTACCACCAGTTTACTCTAAATCTAGCTATTTCTAGCAACTTTTCAATGCTATCTCCAGCTCTATCCCGACCCTGGCAATGACATATGGGAGGTATATTTACACTCGCTTCCTATACCCCCCCCCCCCCCCCCCCCCCCCCCCCCCTATAATACCAGGCCTCTTGCGAGTTGCGAGAGTGACAAAAAGTGCACAGTTTAGCAGTTTAAAGAAACCCCTGTGAGAAATCGCATTTCTTGCACAACTGGGTCTAATTATAGAGGTAAATAAGAGGTCCGGTACATTCAGATACCCGGTATAGATTGGCAAGATTGACAGAGGTTTTGATCATTGAAATCAATAAAATGATAGTACAGCAGGTAAAATCGGTTCGATCTTAAATGGTCCTTTTGTGCTGTTTCTTTATGTGGAATTTGATAAAGCTGTATTGTAATTAGTTATGAAACTCTAATATTGTGTGGTTAACCTTTTTCAGGTCCAGCCCTTTCCGCTAAGCTATTCCTAATTACTAAAATATGTCGAGATTTACTGAACTCCAACTTCAAATATTGATGATTTTAGTATTCCCCAATCTAAAAATCTTCGAAGTTTTTCTGCAAAGCATTTTTATCCATGTTTCATGCAATTCGATCACTTTTGGCGGAAAAAAATATTTTCAAATTTTCAAACTTTTTTGTAAGTCTCGAAAAAAAATTTTAAGTGAAAAATTTTTGAAGTTTTTCTAAAAACTACATTTCTCCGTGTTTCAAACGATTTAAATCATTTTAAGCCAATAAAAATTTTCACTTTTTTTGGTGATTAACTAATTGGTAATTATCCAATTAGCTGATTGTCCGATGTAAAAATTTTTGATACAAAAGTTTTACTCCTTGATAAGATAAACATTCTAGGTTAATTTGCAGCCTTCTATGATGTTCACAACTAAAGATATTTGGCAAACCAGAAAGGTGGTACAAAGGTGGTAAAAAGTGGTAAAAGTGGTGTTTCCGTTGAGATACAAAATTGGCAACAAGTCTAATTATGTTCGTAGGGGTCCTAACTACCATATTCCGTTGAGAAATCCTTGTGAACATTCGAATCCAACGGAATGCCACTTTTCCCCTTACTATAAGCTAATGAAAGTGGAACCAAATAATTTCAAAAGGTACCATGATAATAATATTGATGTATCATATCAAGTCATCATTCAAACAAAAAGATAAATCAAACAAACGTCCTAGACTCAGTCATCTCCGTCCGTGCCGGCTATAGGAGTTGCGCAGTGGCAACGTCATATTACTATGGTAACAACGTCAAATAATAACGTCGAAAATAGTAAAAAACTATGCCCTGTAAAATAACAGGGGCCAGCAAATTCATTCCTTGGTCAGAAGTGTCACATTCAGAATTTTCATTCAGAATTTTCAGTGTAAAAGTAATAAAACAGAACTAATTGTCTCTTCAAAAATCTAAATGGGCATCAATATATTGTAATATTCAAAATCATAAAAAGGGAGCGCGAAAAAGAAGTAAAAAAGGGATGTAGTGTTGAGTCGAGTCTCGAGGAGGGATGGTCCCTCTATTTTCAGCATGCGGAAATATGTAGTCTTTTTACAAGAGGCGTGATCAGCGTCACTTCTTTTTCGGCTCCTCGGCTCAACTAAGGGACTGTAACCTGGCAGAAAATGATAGGTAAGACACATGTTTAGTAGTTACAGCAGCTAACATTAACATTTTACTTAACCCTGTGAAGGTCTTATTTTATTAGGGACTTTTAAAGTACTCTGAAAGGAACTGTGACGGTTTCTCTATGTTTTAAGAAATAAAGCGTTGCAACGAGGCAGGTTAGCCTGCTCATTCTTGGAATAAAACATAAGTTAAGCGCAGTTTTTACAGTTTTCAGTAAAATCACCTTGAGATAATTTGAGAGCCGTGCCCTATCATAAATATCCCATCATGCTTTCCAATCATGTCAAGCAACACGTAATGAACAACATGTAATGGAGCAATAAAAAGACATGGAATGCTTCACGAGTGATATGAGTTAATCCACACCAAGAGAAATATGGATAGTGAAGTGATAGTGAGGTAGGTTTAATCTAAGAAAGTGATCTAATAGGGTATCATGCATGTGGGGATGTGAGGAGCATGCTGAATATTTATTAGACCGTTCTTTGTGGACTGAACTGCCGTTATCGTGAAGAATGGAGGGATTGTCTTGTACGAGTGGGGGTCACCACAAATTTCACCATAGCATTTTAGAATATAGAGAGAGAAAGAGAGAGAAAGAGAAAGAGAGAGAGAGAGAGAGAGAGAGAGAGAGAGAGAGAGAGAGAGAGAGAGAGAGAGAGAGAGAGAGAGAGAGAGAGAGAGAGAGAGAGAGAGGGAGAAACCATTCTTCACCTTCCCGAAAGTTTATAGAAACAAAATCTTCCATTTTCGTATAGATATAATGGGTAAGAGGTCAATGCCGATGAAGAGCTCCCACCCCCTCTTCCTCCTTCTCCCCCACGAGACGACAATTAAATACATGTCCTAATTCCGGGAGATTAAATATGAAAATTTAATAATACCCAGTCACTGTGTAATTGAGACGCGTAATTTGTTATTTATATTACAGGAACATCATGACGGATCTTCCGGAAATAAGTCCAGTAATTCCAAAAACCCGCCGTTTATCTATCTCAAAGGCAATTCACTACCTGCCCGAGCCTGAATAAGTATTGGTGTGTCATCGAGTTGAAATTACTCAACAATTTGTAAAAGGGAGCGGTCTCAACATTCGCCTTAATGACAGACTGACTTCAAGAGACAACTACTTTGACTTTGACATACGACGGATCTAATACATGTTTTGTTTGACAGAACATGAAAATTACAAAATTTCAGTGGACCAAGAGTTTTAGGAGACACAATTATGAATTAGAGGTCGTTCACATATTACGTTATCATTTTTTGGAACATTTTTACCCCCGCCCCCTCCCTCCGTAATCAGTTTTACACATAGCTATTGTGTCAAAAGTACACTAGCGTAATCATTCGGAAACCTCCCCCCCCTCAGCTGATTACGTAATATGTGAATCCTTAAGACAGGTTGTTTCTAGGGGACTGCTGTTTTGTAGTGTTTGTTGGAAAATGTGTGTTCGGGAGTAAGTCTGTTAGTTTCAATTTCGAGTTTTGTAAGTTGGTAAGTAAGTAAGTAAGTAAGTAAGTAAGTAAGTAAGTAAGTAAGTAAGTAAGTAAGTAAGTAAGTAAGTAAGTAAGTAAGTAAGTAAGTAAGTAAGTAAGTAAGTAAGTAAGTTTGTAAATGTGACGTACCGTCCAGCAGTCCTGTCTCAGATCTATTTTCCTGTAACGAGATGTGTATTAATAGAGGAAACACCACACATCATACTGCCATTGTAACCCTGGTATCACTATGGCACTATTGGGGGGGGGGGGGGGGGGGGGGGACTATTGTTACCATGGTACATTCTACAGTAAAACCCCTACTTACCGCGGAGATTGGCGGAAAGGAAACATCCGCGGTAGATCGGGGTTTTGTTTGTTTATATTATGCACGTTAAGCCATATTTGGGGGAAGGATATGTCCGCGGTAAATCGGGGTTTGCGGTAAATAGGGGCGCGATAAATAGTGGTTTCACTGTACCACTATTTACCACTACAATCATGAATCAGTGCTCACAATCCCCCGCCATTGTTACCGACTAGTTCCCCGAGATTACGAGCTAGTACCATTAGTATCAGCTATTTACCCATTGTACTACAATTGTACTCGACTTCGTACCGGACCATTGCATAGTTATAACAATAACAACGCTGTACTCTGCAAATTACAGCTCTCCTTTTATTTAACACAAAGGGACGAGAATACCAGCTAGTACATATCCAGTCACGTTACCATGGTAACCAGTCACGTGACAAGTTACCCCTTTTACACTTACACCCCCGGCA